TTCAAGAACTTTGACAAATCTTTTTTTCCATATCAAATTAAATTTTTATAGAAGATATTTCTAATACATATTACATGTTAAGTGATCCGTATTTGTTATATTTATTGAAAAAAAATTACACTATTATATTTACGCGAACATAAGTCCTATTTCATTATCCATACAATAAATTAAAAAGAGGAATAAATTGAAAAATCCTTGTATGAAATTATACTTTCAACTTGAAAACATTTTAAATCCAGAAAAAAGGAAAGTATTATCAACTTCAACAACTGTAAAAGAACAACAGATGAATTTGGATCATTTTCTCGGTTGGTGGAAAACGGCCAAATTCCGAAAGTCGTGACTTCTTTTAATTTCCAAGGGATACACAGAAACAAAAAAAAAATGTTAAAAAAACAAATCAACGAAAAAAAACTCTAAAACAAAAAGCATAATATCACAAATTAATAAAAACATACACTGTACAGTAATTTGTCTAATATCAATGCTAATACAACGTTTATTTGGGTGGCGTCCACGGGTCGGCAAAAAAAAATGTTAATAGTCAACATCCTTTCTTTTACAAGAAAAGAAAAAAAAAATAGTAAATTTAATTTCTTACTTGTCAAAGAAACATTGAAAAGAAATTCATAACGAGCGTCTACAGAAAGAAAGAAATATGGGACCCAAATCATTGGCCGCCTGTACGACGCGACGAGTGTTATAGGATTAGAATTAGAGATAATTGAATAACAATCCATAATTTGACAGAGTTTTATTATGTAGCGATGCCTATCTAGACAAGCCTCGAGAACTCTCCGATCAAAATCATAAACCCAGGAATCCCTGCAACGAATTGCATTTTTTTTTATTCTTTCACATTACGATTGTGAAAAACCCGATCATTACGAAATATCTAATAAACAGTTAATTTAATGAGTTGAAGAAATTTGTGTGTATACATATATATATATATATATATATATAGAGAGAGAGAGAGAGAGAGAGAGAGAGAGAGAGAGAGAGAGAGAGATGGTGTGTTAAAGTGGTGTATATGTATATTTGTCTAAATGTTCATGTAAACACACGCATTCTACATGTAAATATATTTTGTAACATGTTTGGAAACGTGTACAGAAATAATCTATAATTGAATTGAAATACTAAAAAAAGACCCAACAAATTTTATATTTCAATAATGAACAAGGCAATAAAACTGTTTGACGCCGAAATAAAAGATTGGCTACAAGTCTACAAATTAATGTACTTCCTTCACGTTTAAAAGGCGACTTTACAGCGATAATCACTCTCCGATGTTCACTTATGGTCCAGGATTAAAGGAAATTCACAGTCAGATTTACAGATTAGAGGTTTTCAAAATCACCCGTCCACTTCATAAGACGAACTAATGGATATCCGCATTATTTTGAAGATCCCATTAAATTCTGTTAATAAGCAGTGGAGAGAAGATGGCGAATTTCTCCTGATTCTGAACTGATAAAATTCTGTTTGTGAGACTAAAACTAATAAAAGAAAAAAAATCCCTAAATCCCATAATTTAATTTTTCTCTCTAAAAGCTTTGATGTCGAGGCTTTTGAAAATTGACATAAATTAAAGAATTATCATTATATCGTATGTGAGCATTCGTATTTTAAAAAGTTTTTTGCTTTGACATTTGGCCCTTTTACAATGAAAAATAATTTCAAATGAAAAAATGTGAGAGACTACAAACAACTAATGTCTTTTTATGGTGTGAAAATTTATTCAATTTCTGTATCACTTCTGGTGATCTCGTATTGCAATAAATATCATAAGCAGCTGACGCCCTTTTTATTAAGTATTTATTTTTGAAAACACGACTAGAAGAAAAACCTTCAACTGCATGCTTTTTTAAAGTCTTTTTTGCCTTACATCTACATGATTTAAAAGATGTAATGGATTTGAAGGCGACCCTCTTCTAATTTTTTTGGCTTCCGTCTGAAACTTATGTTACATATTTTTCCACATCTCGATTTATTGTTCATTAAGACATTATTGAAAAAGAGTGAAAGTAAGATGAAAGCATTAGCTATAAATATACAGGTATTCATTTGTATCCCGGAAAAACAACGTTACATTCCTATAGTCCGTAGGGCATGTTTGGATGGAAATGCAAGATTCCCTAATTCTGAGGTATCATTAAAGTCTACTACATCATTAAAACGTAGCCATATTTCACGTCTTTATTCGTCAAAATCAGAGGTACTTGTGGACGTACAGGACCCCCCTCCCCTCCTCCCCAAGCTCGAGGCTTGCTGGACATTTCTTCACAAATTATATTCATAACACTTATTTATCAATTATCATGCATACTGTACGAAAAATCGGGGGAAAAAAATAATCGTTTCACACAAAAAATACTCACTATACATTATAAGACAGATAGATACAGTAGGGTATTTTTTGTGTGGAACGATCATTTTGTTTTTCCCTCGATATTTCCTACGGTATACATGATAAATAAGTGTAATAGATATAGTTTGTTAGTTTGTGAAGAAATGTCTAGCAAGCCCCGGGGTTGAATATTGGGGGGGGGGGGGTTCCTGTCCACAAGTACCTGTGGTCAAAATTTGTAAAAGTTTGATCCTTTATTTTCATCGTTAAACTTGAAAACTTATAGGTTATCATCAGGAAATATGCAGCATCAAAATTCTAGAAACGGCTGTCGCACACAATTCGTTTCAAAACGTATACCATTCTAATTAATGTATCTCAGTCGAGAAATCACCAGGCGGACAGGAAATTCCGACACTTCGTTGGGTTAGAGGTATTGGATCACTTTTCTTTCATTTTTGAAAATGTTGTAGGAAATAATTCACTTTTCATTACTAAAAAATATTTCATTTTTGAAAAAAATTTATTAAATACAAAATTATGTATTATGTCTAGCACACTATTATCATAACTATTTTAAGGGCCGTGCTTTGTCTATTTAGAAGTGTGGATTTACATACTACAACAAAGGGCCTCCGAGCGGACCTTTTCGCTGAAGAGATTACAACGTAAAATTTTCGTGGTTCTCTTTTTCTCCAGTCTAGGTTTAAAAATCAAAATTTTCATTAATTTTATAAATGAATTTAAACTTTGTTAATAGACTGATATTAACACGTTACAACAGATACTCTCGGTACACGTATAGGGGAAAAAAACAAAAAATCAAAGGCCTGAAAGGCTTCAATGACGTCGAACAAGAAAAACAATTTCAAAAGATCATTTTGAATTTGAAGATAGCAATAAGTCAAGTGAGTGACTCAGGAGACATAATAAAAAAATATCACAATTACAGTCTGGGGCCTTATGTCATGGTCCGAATGGAGCAAGGTTCGAATTGACCTGACACCGTCGAACATGTTCATGCTAAATTCTTTTCAGTCAATTGAAGAACTATGAAGGATTTCATGAATATATATAATATTTTTTCTAATTGCTAATGTCAAAGCGTTGTATTAGTGATTGCATCTAAACTACAACCAAGACTCTGTCCGTTACAATTACGATCGAGTTACGATCGGGCGTGGTCTACTGGGAAATGGAGGAAATGGAGAAATACAGTAATACTGGTCAATATCATCGTTTCTTAGGATAGAGTTGGTTAGAAGATTGTATAAGTAAAGCTAAGATTTAGAAATTCAATCTTTTTAGTCTTGTAGCATTTGTGTTTATGTAATTTTGTAATTATTTTACCTCCTGTTGTGTTGTTTATGTTACACGGTTATCGTTCCGAAATGTTATTCATGTTATTCAACGCACCCTTTCTGTAGAAATTCATCCGCAACAACCATCACGTTTTTCTTGTGTGAGAATAAAACATAATATTGTTGTTTTACAATAGAATTAATTGCAGATATAATTGATGCAATTTTATTTTCAAGGTACATGTATTATTCTTTTTGAGCGTTTTCAAAGAAATTGGTTTATAGCTATTTTCTATTGCGGATGCATCGACTGACACATTCGGTAGCGTACATATCCGGTCGCGATTTCAACTGGGCGCTTGCTAGATGACGTTCGAGCTCCAAGAGCTCGACGTCATAAAAAAAACACGATTTAATATTATCACAGACCATACTTTATTCAGTATCAAAGAATCGACACTTCATTACATAAGGTGATTACAACTGACAATTTCAGATGAATTAAAAATATACAAATGAATGACTATAATAATTGTTTTTAGGAATCATCCGATTATATTCAAATAGTGATTAACATATGTATAATGTTCAAGTAGTTGGTCCTAACCCGCCTTGCACAATATCAACATTTTGGTCATGATACGATAAGATGAATTAAAGTAAATGTACATTAATACGATGATTAGATATAGTAAGAACAGTTTCAAATTTAAATAATCGACTTAAAATTCATGATTTATGAACACGCTTCATAAAACATTTACTGTAAGAAAATATATAAAATACACATGTACAGTGCATACTTTGTCATGCCCGAAATCCGGCGTAAAATATTCATATTCAATTAAAATATCACACAAATCAATTTGAAAACCATTTTCTCAAAATGAATACTGTATACTTGTAAGGTTTCATTGGAAACATTATGGCCATTTTTTGAAAAACCTTATGCATTATTAGAAAATGCCCCTCTAAAACTGAGGATATACGCGTACTGTTTTATTTCCCCCATTCAACGTAAAAAAAGAACAGACATTGTTGTTCAAGATAAACGGTTATAGGTGTCATACAGATTTATATAGTGACTAGGGAGAATTGATTAAAATATTGAACACCTTGACCTGTTTTCCTGGACTGACCCATTGCCTGATTGTATTCAATCTTTGCTAAATTTTGTCAAAAACTGAAAAATTCACCATTCTTCATGGAATTTTTCGTGCAGAGTATTTTCGTAATTCTATATTCAATCTACAGATGATAAAAGAATTGCATTCGTAAGAAACAAAGAGACAGTAGTCTGAATTTCCTCACCTGTCCTGTAGTTTCCCACGAGATATCGAATTTCACCGCGAGTACCCTCCTCCCCCCCTGTTAAATCGACCCCTCCCTCCGTCATGATACGCTCCCCTGACATTTTTGGACTGGTCAGACATTACTTTATCACTGTCTCTTACCCCGTCATTACCCCTCGCCCCATATTCCCCCTGTATATCTACCCCTGTTTCACTGTTCGCATTGCGATCATCAGAGGAAACGTTCAATCGTTCTGTTCTTGGTTTAGGGTCACTAAAACTTCGCTGATAGTCCTCACTCAATTTTCTTGGAGGGTGACCCCTGTAGGGCCTACCCCTGGTACGCCCTCTATAACCACCAGAGAACGGCCGTCTTTCCTGGTTCCCGCGCCTAATCTGACCTCGTGACTGACCAGCGGAGTATTTTCTTTCCCCGTCGTTCCTAAAGCCGTGATGATACCCTCGTTCCGACCCTCTTCTAAATTCTTTTCCTCGGTCTAAATGCCTTTCGTGTAGATTTTGCCCACTCTCACTTTGTCGTCTGTAGTGACCCCTTCCTCTTTGAAATCCGTCGGCAGAGTGCATCATTTCGTCACTTCCTCTTCCAGAACGAGGCCGCAGTCCACCATCGCTATGATGACGAGATCTAATAGCACTGACAGACTGCTCTTTCATTTCACTTTTACAAGAACTACATACCGATGCGTATGTTTTTTCTGTACAGATTTTGTGCTCACTAAATCCACTCTCAGCACTGTTCACCTCTGTACTGTTGGAGGAGTCTGAGTTCGTGAGATTAAAAGTGACTTTCGGTTCACTGAGATCAGAATGGGTTGATTTCGTTGTAGATACTTGAGTGCCCGCACCAGTATACCCCCGAGGACTGAAGGACCACGGGGACTTGTTAAGATGAGGAGAGGCGGATACAAAACCTGAGGACGGAGGACCAGGGCTTGCTTGTGAGGACCCTGACATTTCAGAAGAGTTTGGCTGAAGAGACCCTGAGAGGTTTCCAGGCGCGGTTACAGAATGGTGGAGATACTTGGGGTCAGAATACAGAACTAGTGGGGTACCAGGGATCGGCTTCACGCTAGAGGGCCTAGTTATTGTTGGTACAGAGGGTTTTCGTCCTGACACCACACCTGACCAAACATCTGGAGCTAAAATTAAATCACTTCAAATTAAAATACACTGTTGACATCAACTGAAAATAAAGTGATTTTAGCCATTATTATCAGACCTATATAACATTTTCAGGAATAACATATTCAGGGAAAAAAAAAACAGTTCAAAAACTTAATGTTGAGCGATATTTTCTGAACAGAAACGTATAAACAAATCTCGAAGATATTTTTCCTTACATTTTGATTGAGGTATATTTGGCACAGCAGTGTTTGTGAATTCCCTCTTTAACCAGTCCCCCTGTAATTTGGGGGTTGGGACGTGGCTGAGGGACTTGGAGACGGTGAGGGGTTTCTGTGACGTTGATGACGAGTCTGTCTGTCTGTGTGTCACCTGATGTAATACCAGAGACACAATTTTCTGTCCCGAGGTTGTGGATGAAGCGTCGACTTGATGGCTGTACTTAATGGATTTGGGTTTCTTAACTGTTGACTAAAACAAAAAACCAAGTTTCATGCATTGTCAAAAGAAGAAAGATTGTAATAAAACGAGAACTTAAAATTTGATTTATGAGAGCCGAGTAAATTAACAGGAGTTTCCTGACGTCTTACTTCAAAGCGCACCGTGCAATCGACCTTCATATTTTCCACAATGCCTGTGCACCACTTCTCCATAATAAATGGGGGCTGTAAAAAAATATAATTAAAGTGAAAAGTTATCCATCATCTTAATTAACGTCACAGCGACAAGCTCTCAGATTTAGAACATGAAATCTTTGTCTTAACACAGCAGATGCATTACTTGTCGTTAACTGTATACATTAAATTTTACGTGCGCAATCAAGAGAGATCCATCATAAATTTTCATTTGAGTTTTTTTTAACTTTAAAGTTTTAAAATGAAGTAGAAATCAATAGAGGTCCAGTTGACATACATGAGATATATGAAACGTCCCATAAAAGAGACTCTCAAACTCGACATCCTTGATGAAGGTCAAAGGTTGAACGTCATCATCATCGTCATCATTATCTAGCTCCATATACATCTTCCACTTGTGCTCCTACAACAAAGTCATAATAACGCTACAAAGTCATAATAAAGCTACAACATAACCATCTTCCACTTGTGCTCCTACAACAAAGTCATAATAAAGCTACAAAGTCATAATAAAGCTACAACATATACATCTTCCACTTGTGTTCCTACAACAAAGTCATAATAATGCTACAACATATACATCTTCCATTTGTACCCTTCAACATAGTCATGATAACGCTACAACATAAACATCTTCCATTTGTGCTCCTACAACAAAGTCATAATGACGCTACAACATAAACATCTTCCACTTGTGCTCCTACAACAAAGTCATAATAATGCTACAACATATACATCTTCCATTTGTACTCTTACAACATAGTCATGATAACGCTACAACATAAACATCTTCCATTTGTGCTCCTACAACAAAGTCATAATGACGCTACAACATAAACATCTTCCATTTGTGCTCCTACAACAAAGTCATAATAAAGCTACAACATATACATCTTTCATTTGTTCTCCTACAACATAGCCATAATAATGCTACATCATAAACATCTTCCATTTGTACTCCTACAACATAATCATGATAACGATACAACATAAACATCTTCCATTTCTGCTCCTACAACATAGTCAGGATAACGCTACAACATAAACATCTTCCATCTCTGCTCCTTCAACATAGTCATGATAACGCTACAACATAAACATCTTCCATTTCTGCTCCTACAACATAGTCATGATAACACTACAACATAAACATCTTCCATCTCTGCTCCTACAACATAGTCATGATAACGATACAACATAAACATCTTCCATCTCTGCTCCTACAACATAGTCATGATAACGCTACAACATAAACATCTTCCATCTCTGCTCCTACAACATAGTCATGATAACGCTACAACATAAAATCTTCCATTTCTGCTCCTTCAACATAGTCATGATAACACTACAACATAAACATCTTCCATCTCTGCTCCTACAACATAGTCATGATAACGATACAACATAAACATCTTCCATCTCTGTTCCTACAACATAGTCATGATAACGCTACAACATAAACATCTTCCATCTCTGCTCCTACAACATAGTCATGATAACGCTACAACATAAAATCTTCCATTTCTGCTCCTACAACATAGTCATGATAACACTACAACATAAACATCATCCATTTGTACTCCTACAACATAGTCAGGATAACGCTACAACATAAACATCTTCTATTTCTGCTCCTACAACATAGTCATGATAACGCTACAACATAAACATCTTCCATTTCTGCTCCTACAACATAGTCATGATAACACTACAACATAAACATCTTCCATTTGTACTCCTACAACATATTCATAATAACGCTACAACATAAACATCTTCCATTTCTGCTCCTACAACATAGTCATGATAACGCTACAACATAAACATCTTCCATTTCTGCTCCTGGGCCATTATTTGAAACTTGTAACTACACATTTAAAAATTCCTATTTCAGAAATGGATATGAATAATTTTGTCCTTGTTCTTGAAAAATTACTTTAAAGTATTTTCCTTAGTACATATAACTTTATGAAAATTTACTCTCAAATTTGTCCCCGCCCGAGTATTGGAAAAAAAGGAGTGGTGGTGGGTGGATGAGTGGGTGTGTCATGATTTGAAGAAACTTTAAATCTACACTATATATAAGGAGGACGCTAATTATCAGTTTGTGGTCCATAGTTTCTCTATTTCTTAATCAACCTTTCCCTCTTGAATAAGGGCATGGCTGTTTATTAAACAAATTTGAATCCCTTTCACTCAAGAATGCTCTTTGGTAAGTTTGCTAGAAATTGAACCAGTGGTTCTGCAGAAGAAGTTGAAAATATGAAAAGGTGACAGACGACAGACAGACTCTGGTCATCCTTTAATCAAAATATCGTTCCGTTGAGCCTTGGATACAGTGAGCTGAGAAGCGGGTGTTTATCAAAGTTCCTGTGTACCGAGGTATACATGTACTTTTTAACTCTATTAATTTGAAGAAATAAGAAATTTTTTTTAGAGATTTTGTTCTCCTTTTTCGGAAGATTCCCATTTTTGATACACGACCCAATAGTCAGGCCTAGTATACCATTATGAACAAATCAAATAAGCCTCGTTCTGTAAATGAACGCGCCTTGTGAAACCTTAAAATCATAAATCAAACATTTCGTCCTGATCTGAGATTTAAAACAAAAATGGACTTTTGTTTTATTTTGATAAAGGAATAGATGCTGTTCTTGTGATACAGTGCCTTAGGCTCAATTACAGCGTTTTAACCCCCCACCCCCCTTAAAAAAAGCCTCACCATACAGAAAAAACCCAACACCTTATGTGACAGCAGGGTCTTTTAAATTTTTTTTACAGTGAAGGATCAATGTTTGACTTTGATGACCTTGAGTGTACCTCAGCCTCACATCGAAACTAGACGAGTTTTATACTATGTCGAGGAAGTATTACATGTGTCGTTTACTGATTTTTACTTGAAAATTAAAATAAGTACACGACTATAAGTCGTGTACTTATTTTAATTTTCAAATAAAAATCAGTAAACGACACATGTATTACCCCCCCCCTCCCATCCTTTACCCAATATCCAAAGGTTAATAATGAGAGGGTTACAGATCCCCACCGATATATGATCAAACCCCAACAGATTCCTCAATAATAAAAATAATCAATATTCCGACAAGGAATTTATCATACATGTAAGTATAGGAGCGAATGTGAGTACCACTGACACACGAGGAATATCTCGTATGAGCGAATGTGAGTATACGACTGACGCACGGTTTGTGCTTAGTTGTACATGTATGTAGAACACCACAGGACAGGAGAAGAATAAAGACAAGGATGAAATTATAATAAAAAAAAAAACCAAGTTACATCTGCACTGCTTCAGGATTGTAGAGAATTGATGCCAAAACGCCACGGGAATACCAAATATTACCCGTGATAAATCAGACAGAACACGGCGTCACGCAGGGCTGGTGACATACTGACGAATTGACATTGAACATACTGCTACAAAAATTTAAAATCTTCAAAATTTCAAAGTAAAAATAGATGCTTAATCATTCTGGTAGTGCCCCAACACCATGTTAATGCATGATTACTTTGCTTCAGTGCTGCGCATTCTATTATTGTAGAGGGGAAAAAATTAACACAGAAGGTGCAAAATAGTTGCAATATTTTATACATGAAAATACCTGACTTTGCATAGACTTCGTAAAATGTTAAATAATTTTTTTTCAAAGAAAAAAAACAAAAAATTAGCATAAATATACATGCGTATACTTTCAGAGCTGACCGAAATGATCTAGAAATAAAAATTGATTTCTTAAGTATATACATGTATGAACTCGTTCCCACTAATATAAATGGCTTAGATTTATATGAGAGAGAGAGAGAGAGAGAGAGAGAGAGAGAGAGAGAGAGAGTTATTCTATACTTGCTGTAGCAAATCGATTTTTGAAAATCTAACTGAAGAGAAATGAACTTTTCAGGAACAGTTTGTGGTTATGTGAAGACATTCCTGTCAGGTATAACAATCGACTATGGCTCCAAACATCCCAGAATGGTGACCTGTTTTGCTTAATAAAGCTTTAGTCAGGAAGTCTTCAGAAAATTAACAAGAAAATTTGAATGTAAATTCATAAAAAAGGATACAAATTTGAATTTTAAAATCACTACATTAAACTGCTTAGCACTTTTCTTTGTCTCTTGGCATAATATAAAAAGAAAAAGTAGAATGAATTCAATATCAGTTTAATGTGAAATTTTCGAGTACACGGCTTATATCTGAAATCTTATGGGACATTTGAGTTCTACTGTTCTTGCACTTTTCAAAGCAGTGCACTCCTTTAAAAACTCTGATATACAGAGATTTTACTTTTTTTCTTTGAGGGATTAATTTAAATGTACGCCATGTACACGGTCACAAATTTTCCGCGAAAATGTGTCACAATGTACTAAAATATGCATTAAAGACATACAATGGCCGTCCAAGAAATTTCTACCCGCGGATTGAACAGAAATTAAGATTCCACGGAATAGGCACTCCTTGGGAAAAAAAGTACATGTACAGTACACCATGTTTCAAACTTCAGAATCTATATTCTTGTATGTATGGTAATATTGAATATAATACAATATATGTATATATAAATACTTGTTTGATACAAAACCCACAACTCATATAGATGTTTCATGTATATATCCATATTATAGCTTTTAGTAAATTATAACTCTTCATCCAAGTCCGTATAAGGACATTATTATTCGATTTTTCAGGGTCTGAATTGCATTGCTCTCTATATGTAGGTATATATATAATTTCCCAATATAATTAAACTACCTGTACTCTGGTTAGAATCAGGAACGAATGACGTCTGATTCATGGTTCATAAGAACGCAATCTATTGGTATTCGACCCACTATTATAACGTTGACTATGAGCATTTCAACCAAACCTAATGAAGAGGGCATATTTGTATGAGTCTATGAGTCTTCGTTTAGGTGTTAGATATACAGATTAACAAAATGTACTTGTGTTAATTTATATCATGATTTTAAGTGCTGTTTTAATACAAAGTACAAGTACATGTAAGAATAGGTGGTCAATTCGTAAAAATTAATCTTATCCAAACTGTATCTCAAGTCATTTTCAACCGTAAATAACTGTGTAAGCATTGTCATCCAAAAAAGTTCTTTATTCTAGCATGTCACCAACTGGAACAGTTTCTTTACATTATTGTTAATAAATTGCTTTTAAACATAAACTGTCTTTTAGTTGTAAAACGACACATCAAATGTCCATTATAACACAAAAATAGCGATTGATTGACTTCGCCAATTTCACTTCATCCAAACAAGTCACAACCGGCGAGGATTCACGACAGTGTTTATCACAGGGGCCGGTAACAGACTACGCTTGATTTTATGTATACGTGATCACTATACATACAAAAAGGAACAGAGAGCCCCCCC